AGATTGTCAACTTGTCACTGGAATCCAGTCATTTTCCATTTTCTTTGAAAACTGCTGTTCTATCTCCACCACTTAAGAAAGCCAACTTAGATCATGAAGTTCTTGCAAACTACAGACCTATTTCAAACCTCAAGGTAATCTCAAAAATTATTGAAAAGTTGTCGCAGTACGTCTTCAAAAATATTTAGAAACTAACCAGCTAAATGAGCCACTACAATCCGCCTATAAACCTTTCCACAGTTGTGAAACCACCCTTGTGCCCATTTATAATGACATTTTGGTTGCTATTGATAAACGGCACCGTGTTATGCTTCTACTGTTAGACCTGTTTGCTGCCTTCGACACTGTGGATCACGATATCCTCCTTACAAGATTACACTCTGAATACTCTATCTCTGGCATAGCTATTGAATGGTTTCGCTCCTACCTTACAAGTCGCTCGCAATTTGTGTTAATCAAAGGATGTAAATCGCAGTCTCGTGAGCTCAAGTGAGGTGTACCTCAAGGTTCTGTCCTGAACGAATGAAATTCAAGATTCTACTACTTACCTTCAAAGCTCTGCATCAGCAATCTCCAACCCACATTCAAGACCTTATCACCCGCTACTTACCTTCTAGATCACTTCGGTCATCCTCTATGCTCAGTCTGAATCCCGTTAGCTTTAACCTTAAGAACTATAGATCTAGAGCATTCTCTGTCTCAGTCCCCAAACTTTGGAACAAATTACCTGACGACATACGCTCATGCGAGAATTTAAGTCTTTTAAAGCATAAACTTAAAACCCACCTTTTTTAAGAACTTTTACTTAAGCCATTAGGAAAATGTATTTGATTTTATGTGTGTTTTATTTAAATTTACATTTATTTTAATAAACTTTTAATTCTAATTTTTTTCACTTTGTTAAGTGCCTAGATCTATTACTGGATAGGCGCTATATAAATGTTCTTCTTTTTCTTCTTCTTCTTATTATTATTATGCTACCCGTCCCATAAGCCAACATTAACACTTACCTCTCACCTAGGGCAAAATGTTGGCTTAGGGGAGGGGTAGGTGGGCAGTTTCCCAGAAATGAATAATGATCCAAAGATTGAACCATCCTGATGGTTGAGCATTAATTTTGCCCACACCAGGGACACTTTCAGGTTTTTGATGTCACTACACTGAAAACTGCTGTTATTCTAAACCAAAGGGTGGGTGTGTGCGGGGGGAGGTCTGCAACACTTGACTGGTCTGATGCATAGCATTTGTACATAAGGCTGAATCCTGAGTTCTAATTCACTCACCTCTGTTATAATCCCATTTTAAGTTCCACGTATTTGGGATAAATCATCTTCAATTCATGCAATTAAACCTACACATGAGATTTTACAGTAAAGAAAAAGAATTTTAACTCTTTAAGGGCACTCTGACATGCTAGCATTCATCAACTTTAAGTAGAGTATAGCAAGGGCGATTTGCTACAAATGAAAAAAAATCTGGTTTCCACGAAATATAACCTGTTCACATGATTATTAGCCTTTACAACTGAGTAACTCGTTCTCAACGCAAATGACGTATGTAACTTTGCTTCTAGTCAGCAAGAATCAGTTATATGTGTAAATTACGTATCATCTTCACTAGATTCGTTTCAAATACTGCCTAATACGGTGCAAAAACTATCAAAACCAACCTTTTGTGGTCTTTAGTTTGTGGCCATGTGCTCTGTCACACGTCCGCCATTTTGAATATTACATGGGTAGTGAATCATGTAAGCGATAGCAAAATGTCTCATTACATGTAGTTCCAGTCTTACTCGGTTTGACCTTGGTGTTTACAGCGAGGGGTTTTCAGTGCGTTTTAAGGTGAAGAGCCTGATTGAACAACCGTGGTCGCGTTAATGTTATCTTGTTAAAAAAAAGAGTGACTTGAGAATTTAATAAAAGGACTCTGAGGCACCTTGCTGAAATTGCAGATTATCAGGTCTCTGTGTAAGCTGCGTGTCAAAAGACCTTAAAACTCTCTTCCGAGTTTTTTTTTATAAATGTTATCTGCTAAACTTTGTGAAGGACAAAGCATTTTAGTCGGATAACCCTCTCGGCTGGTAAAATCCCTCGGAGGAAACTCCCACACGAAAGAAAAGTAAGTGCTTATCGCGTTGTCGGAAAATAAAAACGCCCCAAGAGGCCTACTGCGACACCCAGCAGGATGGCATTTGTCATTTATACAAACTACAACCCTACGGGTAAAAGATATTGGCTATTCGTTCTGAAAACCTTAAGATCAAAACCTACTAAATCAAAGGTCAGTTTTGGACGTTTTGAAAATCCACGCGAAAACTTCATCTAAAACTTTTTATCAAAATATATATCCACTCCCTGATATAGCCGGACAAGCAAAGACCTAAAACAAACCATAAGCTTAAAATTACAAAAGCGACTGGACAACGGTGTTTTACAAAGGATGAAATTAAAAGATGATTTACGTTAATTTGGAATCAAACTTGTGACTGTACATGCAACGGTGACAAAATAACACTTACTCTAGTGTGTATTTGGGTATTAAACAATTTGAAATTTGAACCTTAGTACCTACTGCAAAAAAGAAGCTTTTAGCGTTGGACCGAATGTTCAACGTTGCCGTACCTCGTGGTTATAATCGTCCCACTTTCCAACTGAAAAGTCTCCTGAAGCCACGTTTAGCGTTTTAGGCCTCCCACAATTTTAACCAAGCCATCGTGTATGCTTTGTCTCCATTTTTAACCATGGTGAAATCTGAATAATTCTTTACCACAAGAAAAGTTTAACTTCAAAGTTGGTCGCCATGTTGTTTGCTCGAGATTTAACGTGCGAAAAATTGAGAATAAATTGAATATTCATTTTTTTGGCCTTCCACCAATCAGTGTTATTTCATTCCCTAGTGGTACTCGAATGTGCCTACTGCTAATCAAAAATGCAAATTCAGATAAAAAAGGTTTTTGGTGGGGTTTATAGTGACCGGTCTGATCTCGCTCTCTCTATAATCGTTTCCCGTATTTCTTGGAAAAAGCTTATAAGGAGATAAAACCCATTTTTATTCAAATCCTTGCCTTTCCATACAAATACTCACACACGCAGACACCTTTGCTCATATTTCGAACTAGGGCTACAAGACACCAAAATATTCGTTCAGTAATTTTTTTTTAGCTATGACTCTCATAGGGAACTCATAGCCGAAGAAAAGGTGGGGGACCCCATGTAGGTTAGGTAACCCGCTTAGGTGGGGTTACCCGCCTGTCCATATAATCTCTCATTTTAATTAGATCACGTTTACATGATAGGTGGGGTGACCGGGGTGACCCGCCACATGTTACCTCACCTATCTGGAGTCCCCCACCTCCGTGTAAACAAGCCCTTATAAGGGGAATAACACAAGGAAGGGAGAAGCTCTTACTAATTTTTGATCTTATAGTAGGTATAAGATTCTTTCATGACTCGTCTACCCCTCCCTTAACCCAGAATTTGGCCGTAAGCAAGACTTTAGTTTTGATGACGGGGTTTGTAAGTAGAATCTTACACTAATCCATTGGTCAACGCTCTCTGACAGTATAACAGAGGTCCATCCATTTTAAAAAAAAAGCACCCTCAACATGAGCAAATACTGTTTACAAATTTTATTTCAACTCGTAATTTACAGCAAAGTATGTACTTATTATAGCAAGTGCGCACTACCGTATTTACAAACTTATTATGTCAATATAACTTAGTATTATCGGAAACAAAATTAAATGAAACACAGCCATTTTATATTAAAAAAAAGAATTCTTCAAAAGAAAAATTATTTAAATGGACAAAGAGAATTCGATGCAGTACAATCTTTACAAACCTTATTTATTTAAATAACTTCTAAAGCGAATACTACACGTTTTTTTTTTGGCTTTGAAAAGGCGTGTAATAGCAATGGCAGAAAAGAGAACTTCACCATCGCAACTTTATACTCCTGACTACTAAAATAAACAATTAAATGTCAGAATAGTTACGAGAACGATTTGATTTTGCGATAATTCATAGTTTTGGGAAACTTTTCCAAACAATCAGAAAGAACAATGCACGTTTTGCCATGAAAATGGCGCGGATTTTGAGATACGAGCATGGGCAGTACTCTATATAAAAAATTCTGGTAGGTGCCCCCATGTGGATGGTAAGGAGAAGTAGCCAATTCCCCGGCGACCCCTCCCTAGACATCTCGCCAACGTCGCTCGTTCTCCTCATGAAGTACATAAATAACCACATAGCCACTGCGGGTAAAAGCGTGGGGCAAGAATAACGAAGCCATCTAGCAATGAGCCACAATACCATGAGCGCGATTAAGGCGATGTTTTTCCCAATAACGTTCAATAGAGACGTCGTTCTCTCGTTAAGGCAGATCTTTAGAGAGAAAGTTTTAAGTGTGAACTAAAAAAGTATTTATCGTCTCTCATATTCAAGAAAATATTCAGGAACTAGCAATGAGAAAAATCTGACGATGGCTGATAACAGTGGGGAACACTCCCTTAAATAAGCTGTATGTATGTGCCACACTCACATATAGAGTACGATTTTTGAGCCCTTTTGGTCTGAAAATGGATGTAGATTTTGCTCATTATGGTCTGAAATCGGGTATGGCTTTTAAGGGAACTACGATAGCGTGTCAACGAATTTGTTCTTTTTAAACAGCAAATCAATAAGGCCGTTCAGTTTGAAGTACTAAGAAATAATTCAAAATGCTTAAACAGTACGTTGACTTCCGTTGGACATGGTAATGGGTTCGGATCCGAGTACAGCTTACAGCATGTACGGAAGCCAGCTCTAAAAACCGCTAAGAAGTTTAGAGACCAGATCAGAAAACGGGCGTGAAGAATGGCGTATTTTGGTCTGGAATAGAGTCAGGAATTTAAGAGTGTTGTATTTTTTTTTTGGCACTGACTAGTCAATCGGTATGCTGTTCCTTATAAGGGACCGTAATAAATAAACTATTATAACCACAACATATTTAACTGGTTCTTCTTAAGTCCCATCTGTGAATGAAGGCTCATTTGACGGTTCATCTGTAGGTTCCTACAAAAAAGAATATATATGTATATAAGATATAACGAATCACTACTTTAAGATAGGCATTACGTAAGAGTAACAGCAACAACTTAAAATGAGATCGATGCATGTACCACGTGACCTAAACGTTTAGTAAGGAAAAGGCTAACTATATGAACAATGCTTCTACGCTAAGTACAGTCAGCAAGTCTCTCCTAACGAAAACCTATATAAAACTGACACCTCGCTAAAAGGGACCTAGAAATTGTCCCTATCTTTTTTTACTGTTTTAGTTGACTCTCTGTAAGACGGACAAATTGTGCCGGTCGCATAGGTGTTCGTCGTAGACAACTACTCGTGAAGAGAGAGAGCTAGAAAGGATGTCAAAAACGAGTGATGGGTTCTAAAGTTCAGTTGAATCTCTTTGATACCGATATCAAAGGAGCAAATAGACGCTAATTATATTTTTGTCTTTTAGAGTGGTCGAACAGAGAGGGCCCATCTCACAGACCTTTTCACAGGTGTGCAAATCATATTCCTTGTACAGAAGGTTAATTTATAGCTTGAGTCATCACTCATGACTATATCACTGCCGACAGTTGATAGGTACAATACAAACCGCCGCCTGGTTGGGTCAGTTGGGAGAGCGCCGGTCTGCTGAGCGGAAGGCCTAGGGTTTGAACTCCGGCCAGACCATTACTCAACTAAGAAGAAAAGGCTGCCTTTGTAATGATATCTGCAAACGGTTAGACTTTCTAGTCTTCTCAGGTAAGGACGAAAAACCGTAGGTCCCGTCTCACAGCGCTTACACTTATCTGGTTCTTGTGGGACGTAAAAGAACCCACACCATTGTTCGAAAAGAGTAGGGGACCTTCAACCTTCAACCTTCACACATTACATCATTCACATCATGGGTTGGGTGGGTACAGTAGAGCTCATAAATGGACTGATAGTGGCTGCCAGACACCCTTGTACGCTGACGTCCGAGCTTACTGTTCACATGTTAATATGTATTGTAAGAGGGTACGTCTGTTGTCTTCTCATCCACGACTCTTCATTCATTCATTCATTTATACTGATTGAAGGGAACTGTTTACCACTTTAACCTCTTACTTACCTGATTTAACTTTTTGAATTCTACCACTTGATGGAAAATATAATCCAAGATGTGTTTAGCATCTCTGCAGTCTGATGGCAGCTTGCTGCAAACACCAAGGATATCACCACACTCTCGCACATAATACTCAAGATCGTCTTCAGTACCTGAAGAAATGTCGATGCAAAGTACAGTAAGGTAAAGTCGCACAAAAGGAACAGGGAACCCATACGGCCTGTGCTAAATACAGTAAAGATTTGTAGCACAGGGCAGCTGGAAATGCTGCTATTACCTCCTTATTGAAAAACTAATGGCATCATAGGAGTACTCCTAAGTAACCTGATATGTTGAAAACTAACAATGCGACAATACTACGTAAAGTCACCAAACTTTGAAGACGTTTGACTTGTGAGCTTCAAACATCTGCAAAATTTGCAAACTTTGTACGGAACAACATCTTCGCTCGTTTTTGTCATTACCACTCTCAAACGTGACAACTCAAGTAATTGAGACGCTCTTTTCAACAGTGTCAACGGATATTCGCCAACGGTTGTGTCAAAAGTTGAAAAAGGCGGGGGAGAGGGTCTATACAGTGCTAAACGAGAGATAAAATGGCTGCGAGGGAGCCTAATAGAGTGCGAACGCAAGGACGCAGATGACTCTACAGACTGAAAGAACAATCCCGACAAGAAGAAAGCTAAGAAGTACTCCTACGAGGGAGGGAGACGGAGACTAATAGAGTGCGAACGCAAGGACGCAGATGACCCTACAGACTGAAAGAACAATCGAGACAAAAAGAAAGCTAAGAAGTACTCCCACCGATACTGCTAACAGTTAACCCTAGTACTAGAGGAGGTTAAGGTGGTTTAATGCACTTACATTTGTTGGTGATTTGCGCCAATCTCGACTTTTCTGATGAAAAGCTTTCATCCAAATCAAACAAATCAAGCGCTGGACCGGGTAGCTCGCGAAAAGTTGGAGGAAATACCTACAATAAACAGACGCAACATAGTTCAAGTAAGTATTACTTTGACAAAATAACAACAACAACAAACAACAAAAACTGAATAGAGAGTCTTCAACGCAGGGCTACAAAATTCATCTTGAACATGTACTGACAAGAGGATATTTCTCATCATGACGCCTTTCTCGCCTCAATCTGCTGCCGTTAACATACTTGCATGAAGTGAAAGTGACAGAAAGATCTAATTTTTTTTATTTTAAGTGTCGCACAGACCTCTACTCCTTACCCACAGATGATTATGTTAAGCCTAACGGCACTCGTCTCACTCGCCACAGCTCTAATTCCAAAGTCTCGCACAAAACTCTTTCAATTTAATCACTTTAATAGTATTCAGACTAGAATAATCTGAATACTCTGCCTGAATCCACTCGCACTCTTACTTCTCTTACGCTACTCCGCTGCTTTCCGTACAAACTATGACGTCAATAACTTTAACACCTGGAAGTCGATCTACTGAAAATCTTGGAGCCTCGCTCTGTTGTTTGTCCCGCATCATGGTCACGCGTTCTTGTATTTTTTTTTCAAATGTAGACTACGAGTAGTCCCCCATTTTTCCTCAGGGATAGTACAGCGAGCGAAACGCGAGCGCGTGAAAATCACCCCACGCGAGAAAAGGCTTTTCTCTCCCTGCCCCGTCTCGCCTTTCTCGTGTGGGGTGAGTTTCAAGCGCGCCGCGTTTCGCACGCTCTACTATCCCTGAGGAAAAATGGGGGCCTACTTGTAGTCTATTTCAAATGTATATTTTATCCTTGTCTTATCTTGTTATTGTAACCATGCTGAAAGCGATTAAATAAATAAATGAATAAATGAATGAATAGAAGATTTCCTAAGGAAATTGTTGATTCCGTTTGTCCTTCAAGCTCAAGATTAGCACAACTGTATGGACTACCATAACCCACAAGGTGACGTTAGGTATGTGTCCTGTCGTAAGGGCAACCAGCGCCTATAACCACACCCTGGCTAAGTGGTTCAACAACAAGCTGAAGCTACTGTCTCTGAATGATGAGAATCAATATACAGTTACAAGCGGTTACGATTTTGTCAACCCTCTGGTGTTTAAAAAATACACAACAGTCCGTGAGTCAAGTTTTGAATGTACTCTGACTACAATAAACTTACAGCAGGTTGAAGAGGAGGAAGAGGAGTCTCAAACTGAGGAGTAATCAGCTGAAGTGGTTCATGTTTGACCCTAAGATCCTCATATGCTCTGAAAAATAATATTCATTATTATCTAACAAGTAATTAAGTTAGCAATCGAAAAAACGTTTAAACTCTTAAATAAATATTTATTCTCCCAAGCCTTTGAGCCTATGCATAAGTTTTAATACACCAATATTAGTGTAATAATCACCTGATGGCAGCAGGAACAACACTTGTGTCCAACTTAAAAAGATCTTCATCAAACATCTTGGTGATGTCCCTTCCCACACTCTAAAGAGTCACAATAAAAAATATAATTAACATTGTTAGAAATTTAAACCAAAAAAATGTACGATTCATGACCTCTAAAATTTACATAAAAAATTGTTTAACACCCTCTTACTGGGTTACTCATGTCCCTAGTCTGAATTTCTAGACAAGTTGTCTTGCATATTGAGGAGGGAGCCATACACCCCCTGTACGTGTTTGTCAGTATTTAGTATTACTCTGTCCTTGTCTTAGTCACTGTCACAGTGTCAATCCATCTTTGTGTTGTCTGTCACCATTTCATCTGTCTTATTTTGCTGATTCACAGTGAATGAAGGCAATTATCATCAGGTATAATTATGCATAATTTTGATGAGGTATGATGAGACAAAGCTCAGAGTTTTAATTTTTTTGTTTTGATTGGTTAGCATGGACTAAGTCTACTATGAAATACAAATACCCCGGTAAACAATCCTTATGGGGTAAATTCTGTCCTATATGTAGATCATCTCAGGGGTTTCAATAAAAATTGACATAGCCAGCAGGATTGAATAGAGAAACCGACTGTATCATCAAGGGCCCTTTTTTCCCCTTTTTTTTATTGAGGTCTGGTGGTGTGGTACCCCCCAAAATTTTGAAATTTCAAACCCCTAAGATGTGTTTCTGGCATCCTGGGGACTAAACTGAGTAAGAGATAGCTTTCATTAAAGTTTCAATTTATCAGCCACGCAATAAACCCCTACAAGCAATGAACAAATGACAATATGTATAGATCGTTTTCACATGATGACATCACATTGGCCATATTTGTGTACAAAACAATGAATCGGCGGCCATGTTTGTGTACAAAAAACATTTTGTTGGAATTGAACTCTTTTCACATGTTAAAACTTTCTTTCATTTCAAGCAATTTGCAAAGCTGCTGACCACATGACTGAAAACGATCTATATTTTGTTTACGACTTTTTCAAAACTATATAGCTGCTTCTCGTATCAGGAAAAAACTAGCCGACTTTTGTGAGCAAAGTAGCGGACATGTTTTGTTGGTGGTTGGTAAAAAAACCCTGTCAACTCAAGACTGACAACTAGAGAACTGACAGCTAAATTTTTTAAATTTTGTTTTGGGGAGATATTTTTACCAACAGTGCCCACCACTGAAACTCCCTTTTTGAGGAATTCTTTGTAATTAAAGCACTTTGAATAGACTATTGCTTTTACACAAGCGATACAAATGAGCATTTCATATTATAGTTGTCAACTAGAATTTTACCTCATCATTTTCTTGAAGGCAAACTCTCAGCCTGTCAGACATTTTAGGGGTGTCTGGAATGTAATGGTAGTCTGATACCTGCACAATGTATATAGAATAATCAGGGCATTCAGATATTCATCCATGATCATTGTGAAATTCATGCATAAATTAAATCAAATAAAATTGGTATAAAAACCTAATACACTCCGAAATGGGTTTACCAAGGAAAAAACCGAACAAGACTAAAAAAGTTAACAGTGCAACTTCGATGACATTAAACTAAAATCATGAGACTTATCAATGATCACCAACTTTCTTCTTGTTCAAAGCAATTGCTGGTTTGCAGGTGATGTCATGGCGGCCATGTTGGTGAACAAGAACAAAAGTATTTCTCTCCTCTGGGAACTAAACTCTATTTTCATGTAAATTCTTCGAGAAAAAATTCTATTGTGTTGACCCCCAACATGGCTGTGGCAGAAAGACATTGCATACCTCAGGGTCCTCTGCATCAATATTGTTGAGTTGAATATCATTTGTTGTGAGCCACTGAAAAACCACATCCTTGAGGAAAAAGATACAGTCAGTCATGTTATTGGATGCTTTAACTGTACATACCTTCTTAAATAAATGCTACTCTTTACCCTCAACTCTCCTAGACGTGTCATGTTTCAGATAAAGCCTCAACACTATCCCACCCACCAGCTCTGTCAGCTGCTGTGATGTGTACCTCACTCATGCATACTTTGCTCACCTAGGCAAGGTACCACAGGGTGTAAAGAAAGTAAGTTATGAACTAGCCGGAGAGTAATTTCAACTAGCCCAAAACAAATTATTGAAGAGCAGGACTGATTACCGTTCTTCTGTAAGTTATGAATACCCCCAAAAACACCTAACCAGAATTCACCAGCCTAGACAGCAAAATCCACTAGTTCCGGACTACTGGACATAACTTTCCAGGCATACTAGGGACACGGGGTCATTAGCCTGTGAGCAAGCTCTCCATTTGGGGGATATCGTAAAAAGTAGACAAGTGAGAAGCATGCAAGAGGAGACACAAAAGCAGGGGTCTTGGGCAGCTCACTTTGCTCACCCAAATAGGAAAGCTTGTGTACAAGCTACAGCGCATCAGTTTCAAAACTGTCACATGCTCCTCTCTTAAAATAAAGTCTATTGATTAATTGATTGATTGATTGATTGATTGATTGATTAATGCTGACCGCAGAGGTTGAAAGAGAAGGTTGATTTTGAGCAATAAAGATTTCTGGTGATTTATGCAGGTAGGTGATTGCATAGGCCACAATCCAAATCCCAAGTTCCAGGAGGGCCATGAGCTGTTCTTTGCCTGGCCTTAGCTATCCCACGCTATGGCCGCTTAGCTATTCTGCTATGGTTAGACTTGTTAGGGATGGAAGTCCTGCTGTCACAACTCTTCTGCAGTTAGTGTCACTAACACATGCAAATTTTAACATTAAGACCAGGAGCCAGCCCAAGATAAAGGGTAAAATATTTTTAAATAGTAAGGAAAATTGTAGGTTAACATTGCATGATAATAGTTTTAAAACAGAACCTACAGCTGTACCTGAACTTTGGCATTTTCTTCTTTGTCAAGATATTGATCACTGAACATGTGCACAGACCCCAAGACAGCCATTTTTCCTTTTGAATACTAAGAAGAAGAAATATTCCTTTGAAATTAATGAATAAGTAGACATGGAAAAGAACCACTGAAAAATATCCTGGGGGAAAAAACTTAGATTTGGGTGGGTTGTTCTGCTGAGGTTTAAATTGCAACTCCTGTAATAACCCCCATTCTGCTACCCTATCTAAGACTTACAAGTTAAATTGTGAAACCTATCTAAGACTGGAAGTGAAAAAGGATGCTTTGACAACAAGGTTGTTCTCTACTTTGTTTTGGTCTAAAATGAACAGCCTAATTCAACACCACTTACTGTTTCTCCTCAGTGAGTCCGAAATTTCAAGAAAAAAAATAATAATAATAATCCAAAATTTTCCTAACATGTTAGCAACTGTTAGCAGCTCATAAATTCAGCACCCATAAAAACTACCAGAAAAAATTAATGGTTACAGTATGTTTTCAAGGATCTGTTCCTTTGTAAGGTTAAAAACACAAAAATACAGGGGTTATAAACCTGAAAAGAACTTACCCTTGACGAATGAAAGGCGCAGACTGGTCTGTTAAGAGGAAATGACACACTGCCAGATGAAAGCACAGATATGGCTGGTTTGACCACATTCAGTGTTGCACCAAAAGGAAACACAAATGTAAGAGACCTAAAAGTACAAACAATGACAATCAAAGACAATGGTATTTAACAAGTTCACACTGGAAATGCTCAAAACTACCTGTGAACATGGAAGCACAATCCTTTCACTAGCAATTAAGGGAAGAGTCTTGCACTACCTTGTACTTAAAGCATAGCAGAGGAAAAAAAATAATCCTAAACAGCAGTAAAGAAGGTCTGTAGCAGTTCACGACTACTAAAAGTTGTAGTTATTTCTCTAAAGGGGAACAAGCTATTATTTTGTTACACGACAATACTTACTGTCCTAGGTCTGTTTTGTCAAAATCTGTTGATCCAGGGACAAACTTTCCAGCAGCACGATTGATCTCTCTAAACACGCAACAGACAAAAAAATTTACATTAGAAACTGAGCAGTGACAATGAAATGGAATGCACTCTCAACAATAGCCACCTTTGATTGTCATTGTAACCATTTTTGCCAGACAGTATAGTTGCACCCCTCCTTATGACACCTTATAAAAATAAATGCCAACACTCTCAGATTATTTGAAAGAAGTCTCGGGTCTTGGGACACACAAAAATCTTTCCTGTAGGGGTCACCAAATCTTCCAGATACATGGTAAATTAAGGTAAATTTTGAGCTTTTTGTTACAATGACAGTTTTGAATTACTGTAAGCCCATTTTTCCCAAAAATTCCATACTTTGTCAATCATAGTACACTTTCTGTGGCAATTTTGCAAGTATGTCACAGATAATTTTGATGCCTGGTGATTCATGTAAAAATTTGAACTAATGTTTGAGCCACCCCCATGTTATAATTTGGGGACTGGGTCAATTTGTGATTATAGGAGAGGGTGTTGCAGTGGTTTTTGATGGGGCAACTGCAAAACGGAAGTCTTCAGAGTTAAGATCTCCAGTGGTTTGCATCTCTGCACCTTTCTATTATGGACAGTTCACTTGATTCCAGAAATACCAAACGTCATACCATTCACACCAAGACATGTATATAATGTGAACATCTGGGTGTGTTCCTTTGTTGCCCTTATTACAAACGTTTGAATATACACCAGTACTCACCTATTCAGGACTCCATTTGATATTAAAACTTCTTTAGGGTGGAAATACTTGTAATACACTGTCCTGACAACAGAATCTGTGTTTGTGAAAAAGATTATATTATTTATTTTATTTTTATCATTGTCACACTGACAAACAATGAAAAGGGAGAGATGGAGGGGGGAAGAAAGACAGTCATTCATGAGCAGCACAAGATGACTGAATGACCCACCTGAAGATGAGCCAAGGGCATCAACCGCTGTATACTACTTCCTCTTAACTTATACTTAAATTGTATACATTATAAACAAACCATTACTGCTAGAACATGCTTTCCCTGTTTGAGTATACTGAAAAGCTATGAGTTATAGTTCTCCACCAGGTGTAATTTAAGCAAAATTCGAAATGGCAACCGCAATTTTTAAGAAAAATTCCTAGGGGTAAGAGGGTTGAGAGCCCAGTAGAAGACAAAAAGAGAGTAAGATTGAAAAGCCAAAGTCAAGTTAGGGGAGGAAAGAAAGCAAGATTTTGCCTTCTGTGTATACCTGACCATGAGAAGCTTTAATTATTTTAGCATCATGAGGAATAGACGGCAGAACAGTGCTCCAATAATGTAAACAGCTTTTTGGTAACTTTTGGTTCTTTTTGGTGAGACAGTGAGCAGAGAACAGCTTGACTAGCTTGGAAAAGCACTTGCTAAGTTTTTAGGTCCCAGTTGTTCAAAGGGTGGATTGCACTATCTGCCAGATAAATCTCTACTAAAACTTGGATAACAAATTAATTAGGTGGATAGCCCTATACACTGCTTGAACAACCAGGACCAGAAGTGAATCACTTAATGGACAAACTCCTTCACACTGAACAGATTTCTGCGCTGGATGGTTGAATGGGATGGACAGTATTGATCACGTGCATGAGGGGTAGGGCTGAATTATTTCTCATACCATTGTTCACCATTATTCCATAGTCTTCTAATAGAAAGTTGATGTTGGTATCAAATCTGGTCTCTCCTCCTTCTCCTAACAAAATCAGTAGGTTTCCACCTTTTTCAATGTATTGCTTGAGTGCATCAAACTGAAATAAATGTTTCAGATTACATTAAGTCTTAAGTCTTCATTCTACATCTCACACCTAGGCTGCAATCTCTTCAATTTACATTTTACTCTTTAATTAAGCATAGATTTTATGGAAAAAAGTTAGTGGGGAAAATTGAAAATGGTACTGGTAATGGGTACAATATACAGGCAAGGAAGGAAAGAGTGGCCCACCAAGCATTTAGCACAAGCTATAGAATATCAGGCCTGATTATGACCAGTTTAAGAAATGGGTAAAGGAGCATTCCTTGCTCTACAAGTGTAGTCTCATAATCAAAACTTAAAAAAATAATGCCTTTGCAATCCCTTATGTCCAAGTTTCCCTAAACTAAAACCCACATACAAGAGTACAATAAACTATTTAAATATATTATTCACCTCATTTGCAGTGAACTTTCGTCTCGGTCCTCCAAATATAATAACTTTGGCTGTTGCTATTCTTTCTACAGTTATTTCATCTTTGTTTCTAGAATCAAGGTAAAAGCATATATAAAAGATATACAGCTCTTAATATATTTGAAATTCAGAAGAAATAGTTGTTCCCTCATCATTTCCGTTAAATGATACAGTAAAGTTTAAAACAGGCTGTGGTGCTGTATCATGCTTGCACACTTTTTTGCACCATAACAATAAGAAGTAATGAGATTCTGGTAAACTTCCCACTTACCCTACCCTAACCCAAAATTTTACCCCTTAACTGAAAAGCTAAATGTTAACCATCAGTTTAATAGGGAGGAGGGTAGGTGGGCAGTTTCGAAAATCTTACACTGATCCAATAATCAATAGCAATAATGTTGCTGTATACATGTACATTCATTTCAAGCACCAACTTCAGAATACCAAGCCAGAGAATAACACAAAAAGCACTTTTGTTATTCAACAAGATGCAAATAACTGATCCAAGGCTGTATTAATTACATTGATGAAAATTATTGTATTCGAAATTTAATGATAAAGTCTCTAAATGCAGTATCCACACTGACTGCATCAAATAGCTTTACTGAATACACGCAAGCGTGAATGTGTAGAATGTTATAGCTCAAAATAAAATTAAGGTTGATTCTCAATTTCTATTGTCTCCTAGCCCTAATTATACATTAGGGTTAGGAGACAAAGCAAACTGAGAATCAACCTACATGTAGGCTGCAGAAATTTTAACCTAAACTTTATTCTGATAAATTAGGTACTTAACTAGTAAAGCTGTTGTTGTTCCTGTAGATTAGACATTTTTACAGACAAGTTGAAAATTGGGATTTTAATGATCTATCATCACAATATGCCCTAAAATCCCACATTGTTCCAAATTCTAAAACAATTAAGGCAAATTGTCAGTATAACAGATATTTCCTACTTACGTGATAACTTTCCAGTTAGATCTCAACTTGCGAACTAGTGATTTAAATCCATTTGCAGGTGTGAACAGTTCTCCTTTGGAGGCATTAAAGATGATTGTGTTACTTTGCTGTCCTTCTGTATTGTCTGGACTGGCATCCTATAGAGATACAATATCATCATCATCATCTTTAATCTTTACAGTGCAAAGTAGGTAGGTAGCTAAAGGCGCACATGAACGAAAGACCCAAATGGCTGCAGCTTATTCCAGTTTCATTAGCATGAAGCACCTAGGAGTATTGCTACTCCCCCCTGGACAGGATGATAGTCCATCCCAGGGTTACCCCCCAGCAGTATGTCACCGGTACCCATTAACACACCTGGGTGAAGAGAGACAAAGTGGAGTAAAGTTCCTTGTCTAAGGAAAAAATGTGACGGGCCAGGCTTGAACCCCCGGACCTCCAGAACCAGAGTTCAAGGTGTTAACCAGTTGGCCACACACGCCTCCACACTGTGCAAAGTATTCCATATATATATGCCACCACAACTTGAGGTTTCCATTTTATGGATATTATATATTAAATGGACAGCCAGGATAAATATTGCAGATACTTCAGTCACACAACAATATATTATTACATTGCAACAAATGCCAAAACATTATGCAGCCCTGCATAATGTTATGTTGCAGGTTGTAAATGACAAACACCAAGTACTGATAGAATTTTCTCTTTATGGAAAAGGAATGAATCCTTCAACACTAAGCTGCTTTAACTAATTTTAATGAAATATTTTATTATTAAAATAATCCACTTCACAGAGCCCTTTTCAGTATATCACTGTTTAAGACTCAATTCCCGCGGTATTAAAAAGAAAGACTATAGATATATGTTGTAGTTAAATTTATATCTCAGGTTCAGGCTACATACACACACATACTCGGTATCAGTTGTACATATTCGACAAAATACAATTTCTGTAGAACCAGACGATGTAAAAAAAGTTCGTAAGACGTTTTCGTAGCCAAAATAAGAAATGAAAAGCCAAGCTTGGTCCCTTGATTGTTCGTTTCGCCCATAGCAACAAACTAGATTTCTAAATAAATAAAATTCGACGATTTGCCTATCTAAATTTTACCGTGAAAACACAGCATACATAAGGAGAAACTATTGATTGACAGCACATAAAGTAGCAAAAATTAAAATTAAAACATTTTTATAACGTTTCATGAACTATTTCGCTCTTAATCCCACGAAAAAGTCGATATATTTTTCAAATTCCTACCTGAGTTGTTGTTCCAGGCGCCATTTTGAAGACGAAAATATGATTAGAGTTCAGGGACGCTCTGTTTAGTTCGCCAGCTCGACCCAGTCCTCAATAAAAAAAATTATCCCCCTGTTTCTCAAAGCAGAGTGATTACTGCTAACCGTGGGTTTTGTTTCATTTGTTGGAAACAACACACAGAAGAAAACTAGGTTAGACATATTTGGTAATAGCTTCTTGGTTTTTAACGTGGCTGAGTATCTGTTACTAGCGCCCCTATGCCCTTATTCTGCCCTATTTGAGCCCATTCAACAGGAGGTTTTGTTTTGTTTTGTTTTTCTCTTAATCAGTTGTTAATATCTTCATAAAGATTATGTATACAGTATCTCTATTTAGCGCTTTCATAATATATCCGCCTTTTTCTGTCCGTGTACGAACTGGCCATGGGTAGCACCTTTAGCATCAGCAGAGTCAGTCTAGCCTAGAACTCAAGTCTGGTTTGACTTAGCTAGGACCTCTAAAGAGAAACAAAAGCGATTTGACTTTTCGCTTTTGTCTTCGCTTTTTGCAATTATAGCAGTTAACTTCTCCCGTTCAATGTTCAATCAATCTCAGAGTTAGCATTTCAATACGTTTGATGCCTGTTAGGTCTTATGTTATCTTATGGAAAGTGCCACGCATCTCAAGCGAACTTCCTGTTCACCGTTTTTGTAAGGTATCTCTTTAAGGATACGATAAACAGTCCAAAAGACAACTATACAAATATTGTAATCACTGGAAGTTTATTCTTTACAATTCACTAACTATTGTTAACCGTCTATGTCGAATACTTTTACCTACGCCGTAATATATATGAATTACTGTTGTAACTACGTAGTTGACATATTTACATTTTCTTGACTTTTTTTTCTCATTTAAAGTGATCATGTATTTCCTAGTCTTACATTTACTACAACTAAACTAATTATCAAAGTATATTTCGGACAGTCACTCATAATGCGACATCATATTAATGAAACATCTCGGAGGGGGCGAGGACAGGCTATGTCAAAGAGCGTTCATTCAATATTTACAGTCTACATTTAATACAAGTCATAATATTTTGAATTCCCAGTTCCTAAAATACAACTCAGATTCCTTTGCATATATTTTTCAATTCTTTATGAAAGGCTCGGAGTTTTGAATTCCCAGCGTCTTGGTTGGCATTTCTCAACAGAAGATTTGTACAAATTAGGAAGTGAACAGACAGTCCACTTTTCAAGTGGATGCTCACTAGTGTACTTGGCAAACTGACAGGCTTCAAGTAATAGTCTATGATATTCAGACAGATGAAACTGGCCATCTTGGAAGTCTTTTCCCGCTAGCGGTTTCTTTGTCGGCTCTTGATCTTGAAGAGACCTATAAAAAATGATTGGGTTTTTTCTCTGAGGAAGGAATAATGATTTCCAGGCAGGCGATATTTCAGAAATAAATTTCACACCCCTTCCCGGGACAAACATTGTATGATGAGGAAAGATTCCAAAAAAGTATTTGCTGATTTCACTGTATCCCAGACTCCCACGCAGGCGCTCTTTCTGCGTTCCGCTCTACTGCTAAAAAAGGAAGAGAGCGGAACTTCGCCTGAGGACGCAAAAAACGGCCGAGTAGGAGACTAACCGTAACTATTAATATCCATGATTAAAAGCCATTTTGTTTTTTTCACAGGCCAAGTATTACAGCCAAAAGATTACCATTATTAAGAGGAAAGAGATAATCACAGGACCGAAGCTTTATAAGCTAATTCTTGATTTCGCACAGAAATATCCTGTCCTTTATCGAAATAAATAAAATAGAAATAAATATATTTAAAATAATTAACTGATCTCTTGAGCTCCCTAGTTACCAAGGCCCCTCTTCTCTTTAATCAGGACCTTAAGCGTCTATTTGGACCCGCTCAATATGTCAAATGAAGGCGTCTCTTCCTGGAGTTGAATTCTTAAGGACTTTATTCAGGTTCAAAAAGAGGAAGGGAAACTCGTCGTCGCATGTCCACGTCCTCCATAAAACGGCAGATTAGGAGGTTTCACGTCGTAGTCGAGCAGTGGACGTCAAACTTCGGTGATCGACGACGAAAAAATAAGAAAAAAGGATCCTGGGATGGAATCTTCCTAAATCCTTCAGTTGAAACATTGACAACTTCCGCAAGAAGTTTGAAAAAATAAACGTTTTTAAAAATGTTCTCTTACCAGACAGACTTTCTAAGATTGTTAGCTCTGGCTAATGATAGAGCTCTTTTTTCGCTAGCAATCTGTTTGTTCAGAGCTTCAATTTGTTGTTCCATTCGAGTTTTGAACCTCATTACTTCCTTCCTTTTGGAAGCAGACATGGAGCCATAAAGTTTGTGCTTTCTGTGGATAATAGAAAAGAGACAACTTTAGTATAGTATTTAAAATAGTAAGGAAAATCCACTTTTAAGTATTACCTATAGCTAATAAGACACTCGAGTTCATTAAATGTCTGTGTCATCCAATTCTTTCAAAAGACAGAGACTGAATGAATATACGTTTATGAGTCGAAGATAAAAAAAATAAAAAGCCGAGCAAGAAACGAAAATTCCGTGTAAGGTACTAACAGAACATTTTTGTCGGGTTAACATTGGCTCCTTTTTATCAATTGTCAGTTTATCCTAGGAAAAGCCTCCTCCGCAGGTAACTCCTATTGTAACGCTTACACTGACCGTGAGGAGTCTAGGAACGAGATAAGGAGAAAAAATGAGGAGGAGTCACTGATCACTGCCGGATCACTGTCTCTCCCCGTTCTCTCCCCCTTCTGCCACTCGTTCTCAAAAACAGGACAGTGAAGTCTGCGGAGTAGGCTACCTTAGGACTAAGTATCTATTCTCTTCCAGAGGGTGGAGGGAGGTCCAAAGTGGACGACCTAGTGTAAAAAAGGGTTGATAAATTGCAGAATGTTTTATGATATGGCACATTCTGCAAAATAAGTATTGAATGTTTGGCGGGGAAAAAGAAAACTGATCACGCTATAAGGTTAGGTATGCAGGTAGTTTAAGCAAAGAGGAAACAAAAACCGATCTACTTCCAGAATCCAGTGTTAAACAGCAAACAGGCTTGCAGAGATACTACTACTAAGTGATCTCTGAATCAGCAGCGAATCAGCTTTAATCTACTTTTCATTCCTCTTTTCAAATACTCTCTAAGGATCTAATACAGAATGGATTCCGTGCAGCATACTGCATGCACTGCATGTCTTGCTGTGGTGGGTATCCCCCTTTGTAGGACTTAAAATTTATGTAGATGTACCTTTTAAGTTCCACTCTCGTCTTTCTGCGTTCTTGGAAAGAACTAAAAGCACTTCCCATATCGATTATTCTACAAATGTTTCTCTGGTTTGTCTACTCGCAAAAACACGTCTGTACTTGAAAAGGTTTGTTTTGCAACTGAACACTTTCCTCTGTGACATAACAAAGAAGGAGAAGCGCGCGCGCACCAAGGTCAACCAATCAGCTTTGTTTTACAGCTGACGAGTGCGGCCACGCGCACAACGGTTGAAACTTGCTACGCGCGCACGCTACGTTTCTTTAGAAGAATCCGAGTCTAGCTACTCCAAGCTGAAAACGAATCCTGTGTTTCCTCGCATTAATCAATAAAAGGATACGAATTATTTTACTTAGCAATTGGCGTGGACTAAATCTGAATCCAATGTCCCGGATTCCGAATTTTCCGCGTTTCTTTTCGCTAAAAGCGCTGCTTTAGAAGCCTTGCCATCCTGGTAAGGTTGCCATGGAAAAAAATATACAATTGTTTTCGGATGTAACGTTGTTATAAAGGGTGGAGGAGAGGTGAAGGGAGTACCGCATGATCTTGCATCCGGACTCAGATATAACCATATGGATATAGCTAAGGCACATAGAACATGCTTCATAGAGTGTTAGCTATTTCTTGACGAGAACAAACTTGTACGTCAGCTACTGTAGCTACAATTACCCCAATTTTGATACGAAAAGAAAGCTCTACGCCATCTCTTCTTGTAAGGTTTTCAGCTGTTATTTAACCTGATCAAGCTTTGTTGCCAGCAGTAGTTTTGCGGGGCTGTAACGACGTAGAAAAACTTCATCATCTTCGCACTTCCAATAGTTTTTCCTACTTACTATATAGCACGCAAACATCAGAGTTTCAATAGCTTTATTGCTTTGGATAGTACACCTCACGTATGACAGCTACACACTGACTACTGATAAATAACACTCATAGATACTGTATCCCACCACCAGTACTACGGACAAATAACATCTATTACTGTTATTATATTCTACGTTCTTTTTCTGGTTTTGAGCGTCGTTTAAATCAATATTTACAACTCAAACTGTACGACTTCGCCAACACTTTCTGTACAAAATCAGCTCATTCCATGGCATCAAGCCAATTTAAATAAAAAATTACGCCTCTTGGGGGGAATAGGTACCTCCTATAAACTGGTTTGAGCTCGTCACGCAATTCTTAGTTGCCTGACAGTTTAATTTCATGCAAAATCGGGTGACAAACTACTTTGGAGAAAAGTATCGGGTGACGAGCTCAAAAAACAATTTTCGTGGAGAAAAGAACACATCCGTATTTGACAGGAAAGAAAAGATAAATATCTGGAAATTTTTCCCATTATAAAATATGTAACTTAAATATAATCAAGAAATTATTACATTAAGTCGAACAAACAAACGTTCAGCAAGACCAGTTGCCCTCAGTGTGCTATTTCGTAGCAAGCATAAGCTGAATTTTAATATCTATGCATTAAATTTCCTTATGCTCACTTTCTGCGATCTTCAAACCTTAAATTCTACTTTTGGATATCCCCAAAATAAACTCTTTTTTTCAACAATAATCTAAGTCCGCTTAAAAAAATCAATTGGCTCTAAATAGGCTTATACTGCTTGCAGTCCGCCTTTTCTCTTAAAATCCGTCTAGTTCTTGATCTCATCCAGCGCGATTGCAAACCACGATGTTGTTATATAGACGAGACGAGAAATTTTTTCTTCTCAGGCTTACGCCCTC